GCTTCGATGCGTCGATAATCGCACAGCACTATTTTGGGGGTTGTTTTTCGGTAGAGATATGGTCAACTGCAGGGAACGTCATTAGCTGGGATGTTGAAGTGGACACACGGGTGCGTGAATGAATTGACGGGGCAGCGTGGGTGGTTGGCGGGTGCTCTGGTGTGCTTTGCTCCTTCTTTCCTATCAAACATCTATCGTCCTTATCTCCCCTTCTTCTTTTTTATGTTTGTTACTCTCTTGTAACACCTCTAATCTTCTGGCGCTCATACGACCTTATGCAGTTGCGAGCGCCGTAAAACCTCTACTAAACCTAAACTAAAACTGAACATGACGGGGCAGCAGAGGAATGGAGGAAGTCTAGGAACATAAACAGACACACTTTACGAGGAATGACAAGAGGAAAGCAGACATGATGGCTAGCTCCAAATCGTTTGTTTCTGTTTCTCTAAGACGTTTTTTTTATCGCCGTGGCTTTGATTTGTTTTTTGTTTTTAATTTGTTTTTGCTTTTGTTTGTTTTGTTTTGTTTTGCTTTCAGTGTGCATTGTTATTATTAGATAATCCTCCCTTAACACGGTTCTGTGGTCTCGGCTTTGTTTGGCGCGCTAACTTTGTTGATTTTGTGTGTGTGTGTTGTTCATACAATGTGGGTGGTTGGCGGATGCTCTGTTGTGGTTTACTCCTTCTTTCCTGTCAGACATCTATCGTCTTTATCTCTCCTCTTTCTTTCGTATTAAACATCTGTCGCCCTCATCTCTCCTCCTTCTTTTTTTTTTATCAAACATCTATTGTCCTATCTCTCCTCCTTCTTTTCTACCAAATAACTATCGTCCTTATCGCTTTTCATTTTTTCCCCATCAAACATCTATAGTCCTTATCTGTCCTTCTTCTTTCCTATCAAACATATATATCGTCCTTATCTCTCCTCCTTCGTTCTTATCAAGTGTATCAAAATCTCTTTTCATTTTTTATAAATCAAAATATATCGTTTTTATTCCTTCTGTCGTTTCTTTACATGGTATTTCTCTCTAGTAACACCTAATCTTCGGCACTTGTATAACATATTTGTGTTACAAATGCCCTAAAACTCTTAATAAAAAAAGCGAAGTTCTGTTACTATACCTAAAAAAGCAGACAACACTAACCTTGATCCGCGAAAATCCCAAGACGTTGTTACCGCGCTCTGTCGCCCCACACACTGACTGGCGGCACGCCTGGCTCGGTAATCCTGTGTGTGTGTGTGTGTGTGTGTGTGTTTGTGTGTGTGTATGTGTGTGTGTGTGTGTGTGTGTGGAACCGGGACAGACCCACCCAACCTCCTCCGGTCACTTCGTGACGTCACAGCGGACAGTGGCCGGATTCCGTCCTTGTCCGTGGCTTCCTTCCAGACCAGGGACCAGAAAAGCACTGACCTGACTTGCGCGCACTCTTTTCCGTTAACTCTTTACAGACGAGTATTTGACAATGCCTGCAGACGAGATGTTTTTAGGGCATTTTCAAAAAGGAGGATTTCTCCGTCATTCTTTCAAATTCTCCATCCACTTCCTTGTTTTCTTTATTTGAAATAATTTTAAAAGATTAGCTATAACACACGTATTATGAGCTAAGCTGCATCTGCTGCTTTTTAGATAATTTGTTCATGGTGGTCAGAAAATGAGTGTCCCGAAACTGTTGCTGGTTGGGCAGATGTGTCGGCTACGTCCTGGTAGAGTTAACTCTTTACAGACGAATAGTTTCGTCATGCAGCGACACCGGAGGATAGCTTGTGGGTGGTTGGCGGGTGCTCTGGTGTGGTTTTCTCACTCCTTCTTTCCTATCAAACATTTATCATCCTTATCTCCCCTCCCTCCTTCTTTGTTGTGTTTGTTACTCTCTTGTAACACCTCTAATCTTCTGGTGCTCATATGACCTTATGCAGTTGCGAGTGCCGTAAAACTATTATTAAAACTAAAAAAAGAGGACAGTTTAAAAAAAAGAAACGTTGCTATACTTCCTAAT